ATACAAGGCATATTGAAAAAGACTCCAGAGAGATGATTATCACGGTCAGCAAGGGAAGAAGATAATCCGGTGAATAGGATAGGAAGTCCTCGAGTCCAGGATTAACGACAAATTAAGCTGTCTGGCTGAACAGGGCCCCATCAGAGCCAGTGAAGCATCTCGATAAATACTCTATCGAAAATTATGTCACAAATAACGTAATCATCTTTGCTGACCTTTGGCTGTAATTTTGTTAAACAATGATAGACCTATTCAAACTTTTCCTTGCATAATGGCACGAGCTATCAACCGAGAAATTTTCGAGTGTTAACTGAACGATGTTGCCCTCGTAAATTTTCTACTTTTGTGAGTTTCGTTCATGTTGGGGTGTTTCAAGATCACTGACCAGAACTTACTTAATTAGCTGGGAAGTTCTAGGAATCATTCTTTCCGCAAGTCCATCGTCTTCATCTCTCGGCTCGAGGAGCTCGACGACGAGAGGTTTAGGGCTCCTAATATGATCCGGTGTAGATCTCCGCAAGTTCAAACAACGATTTATACGGCAAGCGAGTTTTGAGGAGATCCTTCTCAATTGCAAAAGTTGAAGGCAAAAAATTATGCAATGGTCAACTGGTAGATGGGCAGTAATTTTCAACCCTGCTGATAAAACTGAGAGTTAACTGAAAAAAATGCTTCGGCAGTGAGAGCACTTCTTATAACGCACATCTATGAAGTCTGATAATCATAGCTGGGTGCAAAAAAGATAGATCAGAAAGGGAGTTTGAAGGTGAAACTAGCACGATTCTGATATTTAGCAGGAAGATTCAACTAGCAGTTAAGGTATTCTCAACATATAAGCCAAGAAGGATAGTGAACTTCAATATAACGCTGTGGAGAGTTAGGCATCTACCAGTTGAGCATTTGCACTTTTCCAGTTACAGATTTCTTACATGACAGCTTCAGTCATTATGTACAAAAGAGGATGCTCCACGCCAACATGCCAGCACTTTGATAAAAGGAGTTCACAAACTTACGCGGTCAACAAGAAGACCTTTTCCTTAATCGCTGTCATAGCTTCGTTGCATGATGGTTTGCGTTCAAATTCGACAATTCCTTCGCCAGTGGGACGACCCTTCTCGTCGACTATGTGCACGGCACGCTCTACGTCACCAAAATGTGAAAATGCATGGAATAGCATTTCGTTTGAGACGGTTGGCGAAAGCTCTTTTACGCGTAGAGCTGCGCCGTGCACAGCAAAGCGCACGCGGACTTGACGCCCGTGGATAACACGGCCATCAATCGCCTCCTTAGCACTTTCTGCGTGAGCACGAGTGTCCTACAGAAAAACTTTTCGTATAAGCGTAATACATGAAATGAGTGAAAAGAGAAAGTATTGCGCGCACAGTGCCGGTTCAAGGCCCTCTAAGTAAAAGATGAAGAATGCAACAAATCGTAGAGCCAAATCTCCCCCAACAGTCCATAATGACGACATGATGTGCACCTTACGTAGTCCAAGCTGATAGATGAAGTCTTGTTACAGTATCTAATGACATTTTGGTGATCTGCAGTCCAGTAAGTACAATATTCAACACACGGTCCTCACATACTCATGCAATTTGCTAGCATTCTATAAGTCAATGTGTATATTAAACTGTTATGACTGAGCAACAGTATACAGGAAGTCCCTTGGTCGTTATTAGATGCTTGTGGTGGTATACATGGAAGAAGTTTTATATCTCTACTCAAATGATGAACCGGCAACTGTGCGCAGCAAACTGCAAGTGGAAAGAAATGATCGCGCATTCACCATTCTCAGAAAAGCGAATCCTTTACCGCTCAGGTAACATTCAGCGATGTCGCCGTGGGGTGAGAACAACTCCTTGAGCTCAGCCTCTTTCACCTCGTTAGGTAGATTGCCGACGAAAAGCCGGCAACGACCAGTGAACTTCTTTTTGGGCAGATCACCCATCAGTTCAGACTCGGTGAATGCCATGCCCGAGAAGCTGCCCGCACCACGCTGTCCACCGCCCATGCCCATCGACATGTTGCGATGCATGCTCGGACTTCCACCGTTGTTTGAGCGATGATGATCACGACGATTACGATTGCTGAAATTATCTAATCCTACAAAGGGAAAAAATAATGATTCGAGTCTCTGAAAGCGAAACGTGTGATGTATTCAAAAGAAAACTGTGAATATCCAATGCAATAAGATATGCATAAATTTTGAACCACTAATACATCAAAGGAAATATGGGTCGAATTGTAATCACTGTGGTCGCCACTGGGCGAATGAACTTCTCCCATACACAAGAAAACAAAGAAAAATTAGATGTTTT